AACCAGGCAGGCGCCCTTCCCCCCCACCACCGCCGCCCTGTGCCCCCGCCCCCCCGCCCCCGCCCAGCGGGACCATCTCTACGATCCATTCGAGAACCAGGCAGGCACCCTTCCCCGGCTTCCCAGGCCCAGCTGGAATCACACCCTTGGTCAGAGCTCAGGATTCTGGAGCAGTGGTGATGCCCCCTGTCTCTTCCCTTCTCTCTCTGTCTCTTCCCTTCTCTGTCTTTTCCCTTTTCTCTCCGTCTCTGTCTCTGTGCCCTCGCCAAAGGCAGAAAGGCTACAGCGAGCTGGATGCCCCTGGCCTCCGGACCCCGTCCGGCCCCGGGAAGGCCTCAGGAGACCTGATCCCCATCGAGGGCAGAGACTCCCCCCCCTTCCTCTGCCCGGGGCCCCCGGATGCCCGGGGCCTCCTCACCAGCTCCCATGGTTTCTGAGGGTCGCCGACGCTCCCCGTCCTTGTTCGAGTCTGCCTCTCAGGGGCAGGCCGAGGGACGACTGGGACCCCCCTCCTCACACCGGGGCCCACCTGAGGCTGAGGTGGGCAGTGACCGGCGGCCTGGGAACCTCCCGCTCCGGCCTGAAATGAGAATTGGGAGGGGTGGTAGCCGCAGTCCCTCCCCCCTTCTGCCAACGCACCTGCGGGGCCTGCCACCAAAGAGGCCGTGCTCGGGAGGTGTGCGCCCCAGTGCCCTGCCACCGCCCCAGGGCGAGGCTTCAGTGATTCGGGCAGATACCCAGCTGATGGGTGGCCGGCCAGCGGGAAGATGCCCTCTTCCCCCTGCGAGTTCCCGTCGCCAGCAGGAATCACACATTAGGCTTCGAGAGTAGCGAGTGCAGGAAGGGACGAGGAGGGGAAGACCCGCGTCTGCCACCGCCACTGGGCACAGGGTCTCCTCCCAAGGGACCCCACCCGCCCCATCCCAGGAGAGGACGGCAGGCCTAGCCCGGCATTGCCCTCTAGGCAGACCCCTCCCACACCTGTTCTCACCCAGCACAGCGGGTCCTGGTGGCACCCCGAGTCACAGAGCCAATCATAGATTGGGTGCCACCGGCATGGGCTCCCCATCAGCAGGGGAAGCAGACAGGGAGCAACCAGGGGTGATGACCGTGACGGCGGAGGCAGAGCACAGAGGCTGCTGGTGCTGCCTCCGTCGCAGGTGAGGGACGGAGCGTCGTGCTTGGCGACCCTGGGATCCGCCCGCTTGTCAGATCTGAGCAGATGTGAGATTGGACTGTGGATTGGCCCGAAAGATAAGTCCGTGGGGCACCGAACGCCTCTCGCAACGGGGCACCGCCGGGGGTGTCTGTGGGTCGGCGGCAAACACGGGATAGATGGTGATGTCAGAGAGGCAGGCCCGGCACACGCCCGGCCCCCTGTTGTCCCGCAGGGGCAGGGGTGCCCGGCTGGTCAGCGCTCGCTCCCCTCCCCAGGTACTTCTACTCCCGAAGGTTGGACGTCTCCCTGACGTCGGTGAAGTGCTTCCACAAGCTCGCCTCCGCCTACGGGGCCTGGCGGCTGCAGAGTTTCTGCGCGAGCCTCTTTGCCATCCTCCTCCCCGAGGACGCCTCCTTCCAGACGCCCCTGGACCTCTATGCCTATGCACTGGCCACCCGGGACCCCATGCTGGAGGAGCTCTGCGTGCGGTTCCTGGCCTGGAACTTCGAGGCCCTGACGCAGGCCGAGGCCTGGCCGAGCGTCCCCACGGCCCTGCTGCGAGTCCTGCTCTCCAGGAGCGACCTGGCCGTGCGCAGCGAGCTGGCCCTGCTGATGGCCGTGGACGCGTGGAGCCGGGAGAAGCAGCCCTCCCACGGGGAGGTGGAAGGCCTTCTGGACGAGATCCGGTTCCCCATGATGCTGCCCGAGACCCTGTTCGAGCTGCAGTTTAACCTGTCCCTGTACCGGGGTCACGAGGCACTCTTCCAGAAGAAGACTCTGCAGGCGCTGGAGTTCCACACCGTGCCCTTCCGGCTGCTGGCCCAGTACAGAGGCCTGAACCTCAGCGACGACGCCTACCAGCCCCGGCTGTATACCTCGCCCACCTGGAGTGCCAACATCTCGGGCGATTCCCAGGCCTCGTCCGGCTACCCGTACGTTCCAAACTGGTCCTTCCAGACCCCACAGCACCCCAGCTTCCTGTTCCAGAACAAGCTCGTCTCCTGGTCGCTCCTGTACCTTCCCACCGTCCAGAGCTGCTGGAACTACCAGTTCTCGTGCACCGCGGACGAGGTCCCCCTCCTGGGCCTCTCCAAGTCCACCTACTCGGATCCCACCATCGGCTACCAAAGCCAGGCTCTGATGCTCTGCGAGGGGCGCTTCGTGGCCGACGTCACCGACTTCCTGGGACAGAAGGCCCCGATCCCCGACGCCCTGGGCACCAACAGCTCCAGGAGCGCCTCCCTCTTCCCCTGCCCGGAAGGGTCCTTCACCAGCTTCCAAGCGGTCATCCGCCCCTTCTACCTGACCAACTCCTCCGACGTGAACTAGGCGCAAGCGAGCGCCGAGAGGCCAGGCGCCTCCCAGTCCGCCCCAGGCTTGCCGTTGCTGGCCGCCTCCTGTCTGCAGCCACCCGCCACACCGGCCACCAGAGGGCCCTCGCGCTTTCACTGATGTCTCTGAGCTTAGAGAAAGTACTGGAAGGTTTCAACTAACGTTCACCACCCTGCACAGAAGTCCCAGTTCCACCCCCACCGCCCGGCTGGTTTCCAGGTCGAGAAGCAGCAGGACCTGGGAGGGGCAGCGGCTGGACTTTCCACCCGGCCTTTCCCTTTCCCGGTCGGGTCCTGTGCCGTCCCTCGTCCGAGATCATTAAAATTGCACTGATTGCCCAGTTCCCGCGTTGGTGCCCAGAGTCACGCGTCCATTCTGCGCTCGGACGTTGGGTGTGCTGGGTCCTGGGGCTCAGAATGAGCAGACACAGCCCCTGTCCTCGTGAAGCTGCGACCCGCGCGGTGGGGTGGGCGGGGCAAGTAGACACCCCCGGCGTCATCGCAGTGGGGACGGCAGGTGATGGAAAGCAGAGGGTGCGCGGGGCGGTGGGCTGTGGAGAAACGAGAGCCCGGGGCATATGGAAAATGGGGGCGGGGGGCGGTGAGCCCCGGGGAGAAGGAGCGGCGCCCGGCGACCCCGTGCCTCCGCGACCCCTCGCGCATGCGCACAGGGATGCGGACGCGGATTCTCCTCGCAGCCGGGCTCCTGGGAATTGGAAACCACCTTCATGCACGTCAGCGAGGGGCCAGAGCCCCGATAAAGGACCCCCACGACGGGGTGGGCGGGACAGAAAGACGTGCTGGAGCGACCCTGGGCCACCCACGCAGTCTAAGTGAGGGCAGGGGACTGAGCCTGGGGTCCCATGGGGACTTACCGTGGGTTCGGGGTGCTCAACCCTTCCCCCCCCCCTCCCGCCGAAAGCGGGGCAGGAACTCTGAACTGTCCCTGCTGCTGTGTGATATGCGCTCCAGGCCAGGGTCCCCGGAAACACGCGGTTGGCCGAGCCCAGGCCGCGTGCTCGCAGATCTTGGCCAGGGTCTGAACGGCAGCATCTGGGCTGCTCCGGCCTCGGGAAGGGGAGGCGCCCACGGGAGGGAGGGTCAGACGCGGGACAGGCCGGAAGGCAGCAGGCCCGACGCACCCTGAGCCCCCGCCCCCGCAGAGACAGAGAGCCTCCCGCCCGGCCCAGGCACAGCTTCGCCTTCCCGAGGGGTCCCCAGCTCCAGGCCCGCGGTCTTGGCCACGTCGGTGGCCGTGCCTGGACGTTTTACAAACCTTAGCGTTTCGTTTCTACCGCACGCTGACTAGCACCAGCTCCTGTGTCGGGCTCAAACGCAGGTAGAGGTCGACGGGAAGGAAAGGTCGGTGGAAGTAAGCACTGAGTCCCAGAGGTGGCCCCGGGGACCACCAGCTTCCACAGCGGTGTTCTTCTCTGGCTCTGGGAGAACCACCTGCCGGCCTCGAGCTCCGCGTGCACCGAGGACCGGAGGGCGGTTATCGGCTTGTGTGGCAGCCCGTGATCGGATTCGTAAGGAATCCGGAAGCAGGGTGGTTCCGGCAGAACTGGCTGGCATGCCTCCAGGCCCAGGTTCTTCCGTCCCCCGCCCCTGCCGTCCCCGAGCCCTTCCACACTCGAGAGTCACGGGGCTGCCCGCATTAGACCCCTGGGCCTCGGCACCTGCGTGCACTGGGGCCAGGCACCAGCCATTCGGTTAGCCCAGGGTTGGTGGGACAAAGGCCAGTATGCCGGGTGGGGAGGGCCAGTCCAAATCTAGAATAAATGTCGGATCCCTTGGCTGGAAGCTATCCGCCAAGCACAAGTGCCCTCGGGGAGACGGCGGTTCCGCCTCGGCGTCACAAGACGCCAGGGGAGGGCTCGGGAGCAAACGTCAGATCGCATCGGCCTGGGTGACTAGGCCAAGGTCACCATGCACAGCCACCCTCCCTGCCACCAAGGCCACCTGGAGAGCCAGAAGAGCAGGCCACTGTGGCCGGGGAGGGGCAGTGACTCCCCCCGAGCAGCCTGCCTGACCCCTATGGCATGAGGGCCTGTTTGGTCGGAGACTCTCTTTGGTCAGGCTCTCTGATCAAACCCTGCCTCCTCTGCAGACAAGGTGGCCCAGACCCTCTTCCCTAATGGGGAGTGAGGTGTTGCTCAACCTTCTGCCCTAAGGGAGGGCGACAGTGCCACAGCAGGCCTCTCCCGCCTGGTGTTAGCCAACCGTGCGTCCTGAAACCAGGCTCGCGTCTTCCCCAAGAGGCTGCAGGTGGCCGAGGGAGGGGCGACCGATGCGCAGAATACGGCAGCCCACAGATACGAGCCACCCACTACTCCAGGGATTGGTCGAGCCACTCCTTGGGGACCCACTCCACCTGCTGCTGGGGGCTCAGATCCTGTCGAGCTCAGGGAGGGCTGCTCAGGACCCGTGCTCAGGTGCTGGGGCCCAAAGCTGGTTGTGGCGTAGAAGGAGAGAGGTTCCCTGCTGAGGACGGCATCGACTTGACTGCAAACGCCCAGATACCTCCCGGATGGTCCTCCCACCAGGCCTCGTGGGCACCGCCCCCCCCCCTCCCCTGCCAGTGTGCCTTGGTGAATCCCAAGCACCGCTGGGGAGGCAGCTCATAAAGGAATCCGTTCTGGCCCCGAGCCTCTCACGGACAGCTGGCCACGTCCTTCTCCTGGCAGTCGGAAACCCCCACCAACTGGCACCTCCTTCCTCAGTGCATTTCCCCGGGGCGTTCAGGCAAGAGGGCTGTCCGGGTCTGTCTAGATGAGGGGCCACAGATTAACTGCACGTCGTGCACATTTCAGGGTCCTGGATCCTGGGTTCCTTTCTCTGCATCGTAGCGAGGGCTTCATGGGTCACCAGGAAGCCCAGATGGCCCATCAGGCAGGTGAGACAGCACTACTCTCAGCGGCTCAAGCAACAAAGGCAGGCCTCTGATGGTTGTGCCTGTACTGGATATTTTTAGCTTCTGCTTCATATATTGAAAACCCAAAAATAGCGATGACTTAGATGGGATACTTTCTTTTTCTCTCACCTGGGAGAGATGAGGCAATCATTCTGGAGGTGGGAGCCTCCTTTTCTCAGCACTATCTTAGGCTATGACTGCCATCTTTGAGGTTACGTCATGGTCCGCAGTGGCTGCTGGGATTCCGGCCATCATGTCTGCCTTTCAGGAGGAAGCAGGAAGGAGGTAGCAGAAAAGGACAAAAGACTTTCTTCCGGCTGTCTGTCCCCTGAGACTGGGTGCATCTTTAAATTTTGCACGTAATTCAGCTTGCTTGGTTCATCCTTGCTTCAGTCCCATTGAAAACAGCTGCCCCTTCAGCCTACAATCCTTGAATATCTTTGGTTCTTCATAGTATTTTGTGGGCAGCAACAGGGTCCCCAGCATTTTGCCTCCAGTGGATATGTCATTCCAGGCGACCCACAGGCCAGTAACTGAAATCAGCTGGTTTATACACTGCCAGCCGTCTATCCCTGTATGCCAGTGGAATTTTGAGAAACGGTGTTCCTGCTTTACGACATATACGTATAAGGGTACAGATCTACATCGATGCGTATATATATATACACGCACACATGTATAAAGTATAGAGCTCAGTTAATCTTTATATTACGTGTATACAACAAATGCCGACCCCTCAGATCTGGATTCTAACACCTCCCTCGGCCCCAGAAGACGCCCTCATGCCTCTTTCCAATTAGTACCACACCCCCGCCCCCATAACCACCGTTCCGACTCTCATCAACACAGACTAGTCTTTCCTGTTCTTGAACTTCACATAAATGGAATCATGCTGTGTGTACCCTTCAGCGTTGGCCTTCTTGGACTCAATATTTTGTCTGCAGGTTTCCGCAGAAAGGCAGAGTTCCATTAGAGGAATTTGCCCCAGTTTTCCAACCTGTTCTACAGCTCCTGGGTATCAGGGCTGTTTCCAGCGTTTTGGTATTTTAAAAGAAATATTTACTTATTTTGAAAGAGAGAGGAGGGGGCAAAGAGAGAGAGAGAGAGGGAGAGAGAATCCCAAGCAGGCTCCGGGCTGTCAGTGTGGAGCCCAACATGGGGCTTGATCCCATGAACCGTGAGATCATGACCTGAGCAGAAATCAAGAGTCGGATGCTTAACGGACTGAGCCACCCAGGCGCCTCTGCCGTTTTGAATAAAGCCTCCATGAACATTCTTGCGTGTGTCCTTTGGAGGACACGTGGGCTCATTGTCCCGGGGGTGCACCTAGGAGTGCAGTCGATGGGGCGTGCGTTTCGCTTTAGTGGACACTGTGCAGTCCTTTTCCTCAGTGACCGTGCCAGTGTCACCCCTGCCCCCGCGTGAGAGCTCAGCTGCCCTGCGTCGTCCCCAGCACCACGCACTGTCAGCCTTAACTGCAGTCATGCTGGGGGGGGGGG